TTTGAACGATCGATGCGATAAAACGATAGTTCGAGGAACGATAGAAGCGGGAAAATGTAACATTATTTTATATGGGATGTATCCGGGACCGGACAAAACGGACGATGCATCCGGGAAAACGATAGTTCCGGGAACGATGGATAGAGGTTTCACTGTAATCACAGACATTCCAACCATTTCTGAGGAGAAAAGTGCTTCTAAACTCAGAATTGACATGTCTGTAGTGTATTATGATATGAAATTATTTCAAGAGTGGTCATCATCACAACCACAGTTATATTTAAAGCTGTGGCTTGCTTTTTGAGGTATATTTGTCAGTGATGTAACATTCATCAGATGTGAATCTGTATGTCCCACCTGTAGTGTTTCCACTTTAAGTGGGTCATCTGACAACTAAGCCTCTGTCTTCTCATGGTGTTTCTGTGTGATATCTTTTCCAAACTAGTTCCCATCCTGGTCTTACTCTGCAGTTTAGTTCCTTCATACAGTGGTAATTAGATTTAGGATAATTTATGTGTGTATGGATTTAATTTTCATGTCAGTGATAGAATAGTCTGCGTAGGTAAACTGATACATTTCCTATTCAGAATGGTCTGAAACAAGGAAATGCATTACCACAATTGCTCAATTTCAGTTTAAAGTAACAGTTGTTAGAGCACATAAATGGAGTGATGCCCAGCACTGTTTTCAAGGTCATAATTTCAAGAACTTGGTTGCAAACCCCCAAGTTGGTAATAAAACAGACCAAAATTTGAATTTATATTTAGCACTACAATACAGTAGTGCTTAACATAACAGGGATGAATCAGAATTGTTTATGGCCAGGACAATAAAGCTGTTTGTCCACTTATCTGTGGTGAGAGAAAAATGAAGCCTGAGTGAGAAATCCTAAAATTTGTTATATTCTATCCCACTCCTTTTTTTATTTCTGTGCAGATGTCAGGTATAGTTATGAGGGTCTATCTTTGTGTGACTTAAGTATGAATGTTAGAAGATAGGAATAACAGAGTAAAATTAAATTTGATTGTGGTTTTTATTTATTGCTGTGATTTAGCCATCACTTCATCTTATTTTGACAAGTGTAAGATGCTGAGAGCTGCCATTAGTAGTGACTCACTTTTCTGTTGTGCAAGTTGCTGTTATTGCCATAAAGGGTGATCGAAAAAGTCGTACAATCCATTCCTGACGTGTTCTGAGTCAAAAAATAAATTACATTGAAATCGTTGTTCAGTAATGAGTGTATTCACTTTTTTCATGTTTACTGCAACCCAATGAGGAATTCCTGTCACATCAATGGTTCAGCACATTTGATCAATGTGGGCTCTTGTCCAGCCAAAATTGATTGAATTGCAACCATCAAGACTTATTTTAATATGGGTTGCATGACGTTCTGATCACGCTATGTAGAGGCCTAATGAAAAGTGCTGGCACTTGCGCAAAGGACTAATTTTGGTCTTATGAGATGAACCCGTCCGAAGCACACACTAGAGGGGTGTGAGCTTCAGTTGGTTTGTAGCTCTAGCTGTGTTTAGATTGGTGCGTCACCACAGCTGAGTCTGTGTGACCCCCACTACTACAGAACTCCCCCTCTCTTGGCTTACACATCCTGCATTTAGTTGCCACCACTGCTCGCGCGACCTATAAGGAACAACCATTAGAAGGTTAATCATTGCTTAAAACCTGTTCTGTAAGTTTCACAGTGTTATAAAAATGACAAAAGCATTCAGAAATTATTTAGGGGAACATACAAAGCAGCATGAACTGACCTTCAGAAAGACATGCACAGTAAAACCCCTCTATATTGGACACTTACTTGGAACCGGTGAATATCCTATAATTTTACATGTCCACAACACCCTATATCTTGGACACCCCTTTTGTTGTAAGTTGGACAGGTGCATGCATGTACTTAGTTTCAATGCTTTTATGGGAAACGTTTACAGTTAATATTTTGTTGTTTTGAATTTCTGACTGATGAATGCCTTCTACCTGATGGTGTGAGACATTGAACACATCATTGGAATGCAGTGAAAGTGAACAGTTATTCTTTTAAAATTAAATTATTTGGTTATTCCGTCAAATCACAATGTATTTAAAATAAAATAATTAAAATATTCTGTGTTCCATATCGAATAATCGATTTACAATTGGAACAGTTACAACATGTTTCGGTTTTATTAAACCATCATCAGGTGTAAAATTATATTAAATTTAAAACTCAATTACAATTTTTCGTAGTGTAGTTTTTTGGAGGTCGTGTCCAGATATTTTCATATAATGGATCAACTTAAATCGATTATTCGATATGGAACACAGAATGATATTTTAATTATCTTATTTTAAATACATTGTGATTTGACGGAATAACCAAATAATTTAATTTTAATTTAATAAGTCATAATATGACGCAACTACACTATCTTAGTTATTCTTTTGTTAAACCCCTCACTGGAGTTTTAACTTTGTCAGTACTGTGCTTGCAACTGATTTAAACAGTGTTAACAGAAATTGGAACCATATGCTTTCGCTCATAATTAACCAGGAATGGTTGAAACCTTTTTCGGATTGCGGCGAAAATTAGAAATAGGATGGCAAATTCCAAGATAAAAGCAAAAAAGCAGTGTTTTGTGACAGACTTTTTTACAAGAAATAAGTGACATCATATGTTGAGCTACGGCTTAAGTACAATTAAAAAAATACATTCTGAATATTTATAATTTCATTGAGGCTGGGGTGTAATGTGCAACCATGAGAGTGGGTTTCAAAAGATTATTATTATTAGTCCTTGGCTGTTACGGGCCTTTTTGGCTGTTGTCAAGCACTTTAATAAATGAATTGAATTGAATTAATTCTTAATTCAAGCAAGCCTACAGTAGTTAGATTATGTAAGTAAATAGATTGCATGTCAGTAAACGTAAAGTATTGGTGCCCTTCCCGTTGAGCTTATCCATGCAAGTTTAATTTACCCTTTTGATTTTTCTTATTAATAATTTCCTTTTTGGGAAGGGCTCCATAATACTCTACAATTACCACAGTCATTGCACCACAATTTGAAAGGATGATTTTCCCTCTATCCTGGACACATTATCGTTGAACAGCAAGTGTCCAAATTAGAGAGGTTTTACTGTATAACATATTAGATTTAATTTTAAATAGGAAGAATAGATATAGTATTTCAATCATTTTATTCACAAAAAATTAAACATTACTACAACACAACCATAAATCAACAATATCAAATTCAAAATTTTGGTGATTCTCAAAACAAAAGTACCAGTACTCACATCCATTTATTTCTATTTGTGAGTGGAAAAGCAGTTTATAGTAAAATGCAGTGAAATGCTATTATCAAATCCCTTCACACAAAATGCATATGTAAAGTACTTTAAATTGGTCCAGAACAGACATTATGCATTAATCACTTAAAAATATATCAAGCACCAACTTATTGCTAACATCCAGTGAGCTTAAAAAAAGTACACAATAAATTCCTGATCAATTTTGAATTACAAATTAGCTATCTGCTGCCATGCTTTAAAATTGTTGACATATATATCATGATGTGCTGTGCTTTTTATGATTCGTTTGTTCAAACTCCATGCATGCTGTCCCTTTCCCATTTCAGAGATGTGAGGAAACACGATGGCAGCACCTGATTCCAATTTGAGAGGTGGGGTAAACGATACCCCCGCCCTCCCGCCTGTAGTCTATGTAATGGTGACTGTACTACCTGTTCTAACCAACCCGCAATGGAACTTATTTTGTCAGAATCACTTTTTATGTATAAGCATGTTACTATGTAAATATGATTTCTTACAACAAAAAAACACCATATCACACAACACGTTGGTTGGAGTGATTCAAACCTACGTATAGAAATGGTCAGTACTGTATACACATCCCAAAAAAGAATATTACTAAGCTTATTTCTAACAGATACAGTTAATAACTTTAATTAGTCCCATATACCTCAAAAAAAGAGGATTCCTTTCTATAATATATTTAAAATAATGAAAGTAATGTGTATGGGTTCTGTTCTCATAACAGCCTTCTCCTAGTCTGACTAACCTTACTGTCATATTCTTTGCGCTTTCTGTCGGACTTCATGTAATCAATAATAAACAGCTGTATTTTTTAGCATATACCCACAGGATTTGAAATTCCTATGATGGAAGTTGCGTGGTATGTTCCATGGAGCAGAGCATGTATTAAAACAGGCTTCCACTGGACTGTCAAAATTATACAAATATTAAATGAGTTAGGAAATTATGCAAAGCATAATGATTCCAGTGCATCTGGTAGAATTTGACCACTAGCCTGTGAATGGCACCGGTAACTGTCTGATTTTTCTGCGGGCAATGGCCTGTGCATGAGAATGGTTTCTACAATGTATCTGGCTGGGTGATGTTTGTAAATTCCTCAGTATCAAATTTCACAAACATTCATTCAATGATTTCATAGTCGTTAGACGCAAAGCTAATAGGCATTCTTTGCAACTTTGTTATGAATGCACCTAAAAATGGAACTTGATTCCTGAATCTTTTTTGTAAATTTGATCAGTGATATGTTGTCAATTATCTGCTTATAATCCACACTATTTTCTCATAATATTTTAATTTACACAAATAAAACCTGAAGAGATCACAGAAAAAAGGAAACACAACACAGTATATCTATTGTTATGTAACAAAGGATGGGAATCATTGATGAAAATATTGTGAACTTCAGCAACTGACTGTATATTCATATTAATGTATCTTGTACACTGTCACTTTAAGTAGAAATATCCAATTGCCATTCCCAAGTATCATGGTTTGGTTCTTGAAGGCCTCCACCAAAATATTCTTTTGTCATGTTATGATACACTATTGTTGAGTCTGCTGTGGTGGTGCAAGTTTTGATGCAAGAGAAATAACTGACAGCAGAATGTTCCGTAAAAATGAAGGTATTCCAGGCTTCCTGGCAGTACCTTCCAAGAGTACACGCAACTCGTAGAACATGTTGCGAGTGTAAGGATTGCGTCGAGAAGAATACCGAAGTGTCAAAAAATGATAATAGATGAATGGAGTCAACAAACTTGCTCTTCCCCTGTAAAGAAATTTCATTAAGGTTGGTATATTTTTTGGGTATACATTTTTTGTTAGTTGAAACATACTACCTATATGTGCACTATCATGCAAATTTTGTCTATAAAAAGATACACAATATTACTAATAGGCATTTTGGCAGCAGAAGGAATTACAGATGACATGCCAACATTGCTGCTCTTCAGATTACCTAAGACCTAACCTAAACTGACAATCTGTCTACTTTCGGATGATCCATGGAAGTAGCAAATTCTTGGCTTGATACTTGTTCAAAATGGAGAGAAGTGAAAACTTCAGTATACAGTGAATAACAATTAATACTAAGGCTTCAGTGTTCATACACACACCAATTTCAATGCAGACCAACTCAGTAATTGCTTCTTTTTTCTTGGCTGTGAAGTCGTGAGCAAATGAATCATAGCTTTTGTGCAGAATAACCCACTGTGATAAAACCACAAGAAAATCTTAGACTCCGATGAAAAGTGATCGTTAGAACTGTCTGATCTAGATAAAAATTGAAGCGGCTTGTCAATTTTTGTTGTTCTCCAACATCATATTTAATCAGAATTGGTTTATGCATTCTAAAACTTCATCTCACATCATACCAAGCTGCCAGTTCTGAGCAAGAAATCAGAATTATTTTGTATAGTTCAGTTATTTTCAGTTTAAGAAATAAATTATTTTCAGAAATATTTAATATTGAATATAGCCATTCCCACTTCTGTTTCAAAAGTTTGTGCACTTTATAATTTGATATTCTCAACAGAAGATAATTGTTAAATTCAGGGTGACCTACAATTGTATGAATCATGAAATTAAGACAATACATACCAACATAATACAGTGCAGTAAAATTAAATACTTCAAACTTACATGAATATCAGCACAACTGTGAAGGGTACGAGAAATATTTCGGTGAAGGCCACAAGTCGCAGAATATTGCGTGACTGAAACTCGACCAATGATATTAACAGTCTAGCTCCCCACCATGAATTCTGGCCAAGTGTCTGCAGAGAGAAAATGAGTCATTAAACACAAATAATGTGTTGTCCATGCTAATATTCTTTCTCAAGATATTGTACTTACATCTAGTAGTGTTAGGGAGTAGCTTGCAGAATGAAGAACTGCAAACAGAAATACAGGTAACAGGACCACTGAAAATACTGCTAAGGAAAGTTTACCCACAGCAATATCAATATTAGACCAGCAAATCCATGCATAATATTTCAACCTTCCATTAAACAACACCATAATGCACAAAATGACCATGTAAGAAGCAGCTATTATATCAAAGTAGTAGGCAGATACACTTGTTTTGATATAGACCAGAAATGATTTACATATGGCACAGTCTTTCTTGAAAAGCTAACAGTCACTCAATTAGATATGAAAGTACCCATTTTTATGAATCCTGAATTTTCATTACTGTGCCATGGTACCTATCCTGAGGTAGATGGATCCAATCCACATTATCTACTAGGTACTGTTACATTATAACATTGCCATACTTTTAATGTATTACACAATTAAATTGTAAACTCTGAATGTATAGTATCACTTACAATTACAAAGCATATCATGTTACTTTTACAAAAGGATACGTGTAACTGGTGTTACATAAAGAAAGATAAGGGAGTAAAATAAATAATGGCAACTGTCCTCAAGGAGCAAGAGTGACAGAAATTCCCGGCTGAGCGTCACGCGTGGAATTCGCTGATGAAGCCGCAGTGCACTTGTAGCAGCATTGGATATAAGTGCTTTGTAATATGCATTGTATGGATTTCTGAAATCAGAAATATATAAATATATATAACCTCAAAAATCACATGACAACTTGACAGAATGTCTCAAATTTGCATTCTTTATTTAAGTTTGGTTAAAGTACAAAGCTACATGTTGATTCCCCTCCTGATCTATGCACACAAATATTATAAGTTAAAAATGGAACAGGTTCAGTTAAATTATATTGGATTATATAAATTCTATAGAGCCCAATTAATAAGGATGTTGGGCAAGTCAGTTTACAAATAAACACAAAGCTAATAATCCTTAACTAAATAGATTTAGTCACATATAACAGACATAAATGCTTAAAATGCAGTACAGAATTAACTATGACAACAAAATAATACTTAAAAGGAAAAACTTTCAAGGTAGATTACAAAATGTAAACATAAAGAAAAGCAGGTTCATAGAATTCATGATCATCCAGCTGTCAAGGATTTTGAGCCTTGTGACCCGTTCCAGCCTCAGTCATCCAGGAATAGTTTTAAAGAGCGTCCTTTGTTTCTTTTTCCTATTGGTTTATGTTTCAAAATTTGATGTGGCAATCTGTCCTTGTCCATTCTTCATACATATTGGATCCAGTTCCTTCTGTATCTGTGAATTTTTTCCAATATTGGCTCTGTTTATAGTTCTTTGTGGATGATGTCATTTCTTTTATAATCTCTCCATGTGTATTTGGCTATTTTTCTTAAAAACTTCATCTCTGCTGCTGCAATTCTTGATTTGTTGCATTGTTTCATTATCCAGGTTTCGCATCCGTAAAGAAGTGCAGGTATGGCCAAGGTTTTATACATTTTCAATCTAGTTTGTATTGGGGTTTTTAGAGGGTTTAAAGATTTGATTAATAATTCCTGTAAATTGTAAGTATTTAGATAATTTTGCTGGGAGATATTTTTCTGTTCCACAATGTTTTTAAAATGTATACAATTAACAATATGCTATTAATTATGTAAGATCTAAATCTAATTCTGATGGCTTGGTTGCATGTGACAACAAAAGAAAGAAAAAAGAATGTATAATGAAAACACTTTTAGTTAGAAACGTAATAAGTCCAACCAGTATTATATAATCCTGTTACAAATTGAGGTGAACCAGTCAAGGTTAACCACATGCCTCATAAAAAAATTAATAAATCTATATTTTTTGTCACTATGAATAAAATGAAAAGGTAACAAAAATATACAAACCTTCAGTGAACATACCAAATAAACTTCAATTCAGAAAATAAACTTTCACATAAGAAACCAAACACCACATTAAAAAACTTAAAATTTTGCTTTTGAGTAAATTCACATTTTACTCTCTCACTCACTTTATGGTATAGGATATTCTTTGAAAGGTCATTGTTACTCAGCTTGTCAAAGAATAACCTACTTTCTTTATGAAACTCAAAGGTTCATCGCCATATTCACAAAAGCCCACCACCAGACTCTATCCTGAGCTAACTGCATCGAGTTCGCTTCATCAATTCCCATTTCCATAAGGTTCATCTTAACATTATTCTCCCACTTATGCTTGGTCCTCCACTCCCCCATATGTGCTGCATGTCCCACCCACCCCAGCCTCCTCTATTTAATCACCCTAACATTATCAGGTGAGGACTACAGGCTGTGAAGCTCATGATTATGCAATTTTCACCATGATCTGTCTGCCTCCTTATAGGTCCAAATATCTTCCTCAACACTCTGTTCTCAAAAGACCTCAATCTATGATCCTCTCTCAAAGTTAGAGACCAAGTTTTGCACCCATACAGTACAATTGGAAAAATTATACTTCTGTATATTTTAACATTTTGTTTTTTGCCTTTTCTACATTAATTTCTAGACCAACATCCCCACTAGCCATTAGGAATGTTTGTGTTTGCTTTTATACCATTTATATTATCGCCCAACAGATATCATCAGCGCAGACCAAAAGCTGATGTGTCCCATTCAATTAAATCTGCCCTAATTTTCTTGGATTTTCCTGATGTGTGTAGCTTGCATGGGGGAGGCAAGGGGTGCATGCAGAATTTTGGTAGGGATTCCTTCTGGAAAACGACTACTGGGTAGACGAAGAAGGAGATGGGAGGATTACATCAAGATGTATTTTAGGGAGGTGGTCTCTGAGGATGGCAAATCGATGGCATTGGATCAGGATTATGGCCAGTAGCAGGCTTTGGTGTTGTTGGTGTTGTACCTGTGGGTTCTGCTATCAAGGAGTTAGTTACTTCCTGACAGTATATTCTAAGGCAAAATTGAAAAGCAGCAGTGATAAAGCTTCTCCGTTTCAAGCTATTATGGAATAGGAAATGTATTACACAAATGTTTGCTTACTTACACAACATTTCAACATTTGCTATAGATTTCACTTAAACACAATTTAATTAGCTTGACTAGCTACTTAGATGCAAAATGTTGTAACTAATCATAACATGATATTCTCATGTAAAACCCTATTACCTGATATTCCAAGACATTGCAATGACACTTACCCTAAAAGTGGTATGAAATATCCAAACGTGAATATAATTGTGAAAACTCTTGTGGCCCATAATGCTACTTCAACTTTATGATCAATAACATGTTGTTTTAAAGCTTCCCAACCTCTAGGCTGTGGTTGTTCAGAATCCTGTGGTTCACTGTGGTCACTCATGTTATTGGTTGTGCTGTGAATGGCAATTCTGTAATATGAGAGCTGTATATACTGATATACATACACACAAATGTGGTATGAAAATGAGTTTGGAGATTTTCATAACCCAGAAATCCTGAATGTAGGTTACAACACACATTCATACCAAAAAATTCCAGTGCAGGTATAATTCATTCCATAGAAATATATGCCAAATTGGAAGCAATTTATTTCAAAGACTTTTCCACTTACCTCAACCTTCATGCATAAACTTCAGTTATGTAAAAGTAATAGCCTTCTCAACGACTTGCGAAAAAACCTATTACCACTTCCTCAACAAAACCTGAATTTCATTTCAGAGGTACAAACTATGATCGATAGATGGCACAAAATTAGCATAAACTCAGAATAACTGTTGTGCCATCTGTACGTGATATTAGAAACTAATATATTATTTTTTTCAGCTTTAGATATCAAAGGGAAACTGACCTTCAGTGTTTATCTTATATCTTATATATATATTTATTATAAATATTCGTGATTTATCGTCGTCGTCAACCTATTTATCGTCAAAAATGACGTCATCAAACAATGTTACGTTATATTTGTTTACTCGGCATTGTTGTACCAACACATTATTATATATTATAATAGAACACAACAATCAAATTAATTAGTTATAATAGAACACAACAATGGTGAGTAAACAAATGACTACAATTGGTTGGTTATAGTAGAACACAACAATCAAATTGGTTGTTTATAATAGAACACGCGTCAACAAACAATGGCGAGTAAACAAATGGCTACAAATTGGTTGGTTATAATTGGACACAACAATCAAATTGGTTGGTTATAATAGAACACAACAATGGCATTGTTGTAACAAACAACAAACAAATGACTTGAGTAAGACACTAAACTAACCCCCCCCCCCCCCACCCCCCCCCCCCCCACACTCCCCCCGAAGGGGGGTTGGTTGCGTTTTAAACACTTGACCAACCCCCCGGGGGTTGGTCAAGTGTTTTAACCAACCATTCGGGGGGGTTAGTTTAGTTTCTTACTCAATGGTTAATAAGTTACAGTGGAACCACGATTTCGGAGAATTTGACGTAAATACGTCTATACGGAAAGGAAGTTTATATATTGGCTTTATTGTAAATATTTCCTTTATACATGCTTTACAACTGAGTAAAGTTTGATTAAGACATTGCTTATTTAACTTGAATTAGTTACGCTTAAGATGTGTCTGTGGTAGATGAATGTAATGTAAGGTAAGGTAATGTAAGGTAAGGTAAGGTAAGGTAATGTATTATAATGTAATGTAACGTTTCCTAGGTAACAACAATGCTGAGTAAACACGACGTTCCCTAGGTACACTTGTTACACTTTTTCGTTTCCCTTTTTCGTTACACTTTTTTGCCGAATGACCCTTCCTTATAGACGTATTTACGTCAAAACTTGAATGAGACACTAAATTAACCCCCCCCCCACAGGGGGGGTTAGTTTAGTGTCTTACTCAAGACTTGACCAACCCCGCCGAAGTCAAGTGTCTTAACCCCCCATTCGGGGGAGTTAGTTTAGTTTCTTACTCAAGGGTTAAAACACTTGAATGAGACACTAAACTAACCCCCCCGATGGGGGAGTTAGTTTAGTGTGTTACTTACTCCTTTGGGGGGAGGTTGTTTTTTAAACACTTGACCAACCCCTCCCCCCAAAGGGGTGATTGGTCAAGTTTTTTAACCCTCCATTCGGAGGGGATAGTTTAGTTTCTTACACAAGGTTGGTTGTGTTTTACAAACTTGACCAACCACCCAGAGGCGCTCCGAAAGGAGCGCTTTGCTCTAGTGTTAGAAAAAACTTGAGATTGAGTCCGTTATAGTAAGCATCATAGACACATTAACCCTTGCCTTTATGCAAATTTGACGACGAATGATGTATTATGGAATAAAGAGCTACAAGGAAAGCGAACAAAGAAATAATAAGACAAATGGAAAAACTGCAGGTTTTTGAGTATGCTCATGCCCCGTGTAGGACGTGCAGTTTCCTTTCGTTGTATACAAGGTGAAGTCTGTGGCTGTCTCTCTGGTGGAATGTGACACATTGAGATACGTGTGGGTTGCTTGAAATTTCGTTTCGACCATGCAGGGGAGGTGTAGTGTCGAGTCTGAGCCATTTTCATCGAAAGTTTCATATTGCTAATTTTATTTCTTCTTGCTGAAATATGTGTTACCATGGTTTTATCCACAATACAAGGAAGTGGTGTTTTTCATTTATTGATTCTTTTGGTTTCCTTGTAGCATCCAACGTAAGGGAGGCGGCGTATGAAGCTACTGTGTTCAATTAAACGATTTCGATTCATTTGTCTTGCCTTGTAAGGCGTAACGGGAACTGAAAACCTTTTTATGACTTCAGCCTTGAAGTTGGTATGTACCTGTATTTGAACACGACGTCAAAACGCAGCAAAATGTTCTTATATTGTTTGCGTTGATGAACTGTTCCAATGATTGTAGTACGAAATATGCGTAGTTTCACTCAATCTGTAGCAGATGTAAGGAATTTCTTCTGCGGAAAGTTTGAACGTCTTGAAATATCGACGCAAACAGATCTAGACGTGTGGCGCAATCTGTACCATTTTGTATAATTTTTCGTGTTTGTTTCCTGCGTTCTCATATGTGGGTGCGTGTACACATTGAGTTTTGCAGGTGTTAAAATTTGTCATCATATACCAATATGAACGGATGTCACCCCTTTCACTAGCTTAATTTTTGTACTACCTACTAACGTAGGAGTATTATCTTCATTACAAAGTACTTTGGTACAACTGTTCCCTATCGTACTTCAAAAGTGAAAAGTGTGTCATTTTAGAAAGCAAACTTTGCTTCTTCTGTAGAGCTACTGATTTCCTTAACTGTGTTCACTAGTACTAGAGCATACTTTCTAGCATAATGTTTGTGCTGATAGGTATAATTGTAATTTTGTTGGCAGTTTGGTACTGTGTGGCAGTACAACGAAAAATAACTTTGAAGCATCTGTTCAGAGAAACTAGCTATCAAGCGTATTATTACCTTCTTGGGGGGAAAGGAATTCTGGAAGATTATGTGTACTTCAGACAGAATAAAACTCGTATGTATATTAAAAAACTACCTGTAATTTTGTTAAGTCGTTAGCCAATCGGAACGGCAGTTAGTGATATTGATGAAATGCATGAAAATCGTTACAAAACGGCGAGTGTAATTTTTTACATCATACCACGACAAATTTAAGCATGTCGTGCGCTGCTTAGTGAATTTTGGTAATTTTCCTTTACATGTTGAACATGAATGCAATAGTAATAGAAGTTGATCTACCCGGAATTGTCAAAACACTTGTTGCTCTTCGTATGCTGTAAACCCTGGCAAGGAAATTGTTTGTAGTGCTCCTAAATAGCAACGTTTTCTCCTTTCGTACATTTATTTCTGAGATGAAAGTTAACAATTTAAAGATACAGAAATAGAAGTAATACAAAAAAAAATGTAAATGTGGCAACAAAATGCTTTACACGTATTTTGTTTTCAAGAAATTGTGATAATTGGTGTAACATTTCGTTCTGACTGAACAATAAAGGATTTAATGTTCAAGGTAACTTATATTTTTCTAAATTTTACTTACTCGATGTTATCTTGTTTCTTCCATAAATCACATTCTGTAGAAAAGTGCTACTTATGTTCATTTGCATGACTTGCAGTTTTAATAAAAAATTCTTCTGATAAGTAACATATTCACATGTGTAAATTAAGCGGTGGTTCAATTTTATTGTTAGGAGGTTATGCAAACTATTTTTTTCTAACATTGAAAAGGTACTGCCTTTCTCAGTATTTTCTAAGTATTTTATGGTTTGCAGTACTGTGTGAACTTCTAGGTGCTTACAATTGTTTTTGATGACTGTATTGTCTCCATCTCCATACAACCATCAGAACTCAGGAGTTGACAATCCACATATTCTCCAATGGAAAACCCTCAGATCTCATCTAAGCATTTTTTCTTACATATTTTCGATTTCATGCTATTCCTCTGATAATCAAGATGTCTCCAAATGATTTATCTTCTAAGGCACTTTAATTTTACATTCAATGTGGCTCATCCCAAAAAGCTAAAGTTGTACATTGAACTCCAGCTGCAAAAACCTAAGGACAAGAATTTGTCATTATGTTTGTCATGTAGAGACACTGTGTATGTAGCAGGTTCTAATGTTTCTTTATTGTTGTATTTTTTATTATTTCAGCTCTGTTACCTAAACTGGGTGAAGTAGCTGTTATTACTGGAGGTGCTCGAGGAATAGGAGTGGAAGTAGTGAAGAAATTGTTACAATGTGGCATGCATGTTGTGATTGGTATGAAACAGTTTTAATTTCAAATGAGACATATTCATTTGATTTCAGTTGATTAAATTAGGGACAGTTCATAACAATTTAGACCTGAAGATTGCTGTCTTCTGTGTTGTCCCTTTTACTGTAGTGCAACATATTGACAGTAATCATGATGGAAGGTTTTGTTAGACACTACAATTGTGCATTTTGTCATAGGGAAATTAAATCATTATTTCCAGAATTGCATAAGTATTGATGTACTCAAAATTGGTATTTTTATCATAACTGCTATTACCTACATGCATACATACATCTTTATTACATTTCATGGATCCATAAATTAGATGACAGTAGGACGTGGAATGTCATAATTATATAGAGCATATTATACATTCAAACTATTATAAGGATGGAACATACAACAAGCAAAGGGTTAAGAAAGTGGTGAAATATTACAAGTAAATCCACCCATGACATAAAGTAGATAAATTGTACAGTACTTTTTTGATTAAAGGATGCCGGAACGTTGATGCAGGGGAGAAAGTTGCAAAGAACATTCGGTCATGTGGCATAACAAGTGGAGAAGTATCATGCTTCCTTCTTGATGTAGGATCTTTCAAGTCCATCAGGAAATTTGCAGAATTGATCCTGAACCATTTTCCTCGGGTAGATTTGTTGATTAATAATGGTATGTATATGTTATTTAGTTTTAAGATATGTGTTGTTTTTTCACTCTCAGGTTTCATAGTCGGTGATCCAACAACTATATCAACTGGACAGACTAGTAATGGGTGTTGTAGTTCAACATGCATATTTGTGTATCTTGTTACACAAGTGGATAATCATTGGTATCATTTTCATAACATTACTAGGTTTCATTGAGAACATCCTATCTTTAAATGACATATAATCTACTCAGCTGTCCACAGTTTCTGTGATTCCAAAAAAAGGATGTACAGCTTTAATTTAATGTAAAATATCTGTTTCAGCCGGAATAATGTTTGTACCATATGCTGAGACTGAAGATGGATTTGAGTCCCATTTTGCAGTAAATTACTTGGGACATTGTCTGCTATCACATCTGTTGCTACCTCATATGATACACACTGCTAAAGAAAAAGGCAGTAATTGTAGAATAGTGAATGTTTCATCTTGTGCTTATTTAGCAGGTTCAATTCACTTCAAAGACTTATCTATGAGGTAGGTGATATCAAATGTTTCAGTTGCTTGTTTAATCCAAATTTTAAAGAAGTTTTAACTGTTTTAAGTCTTTTGGGTTGTAGAACCTATCAGTGTTTTGCATAGCTTTGTGATTTTTTGTACATTGAAACTGAAGTACAGTTTGGCATTCTGTAATATAGTTTTTGTTATTTATATTCCACCATTACAGTGCATACTACATTCCTAGTGCTGCTTATGCACAATCAAAACTAGCACAAGTGCTCTTCACCAAGTCTCTTGATTCAAAGCTGAGGAACCGTAATATTCCAGTCCAAGTACACGTTGTTCATCCTGGAATTGTGAACACTGATTTATTTAATGGCACGTTGCTTAAGACAGTTGCTCCTTGGATACCAGCTTTACTATTTAAGGTAACATTATGTGCAGTTTATACTACTCCAATATGTCAATAGTTAATCCATTTAAAGGTACCATAACAACTGAGTTTGTAACTTATATTAAAGTCAGGCATGGTTTTGGAATTCATGCTACTGAGAATAAGATAAAATTCTAAAAAAATATGGGGCAGTGCAGAAGAGGACAAAGTAGTAAGGAGAATATATGAACATAAGAGAAATTAATTGACAAGGAAATGGATGGAATTACAGAATAAGAAATGCCATAGTTTTTACTCTTCATGTTATATTACGGTAACTGAGGTGGGCTGGACATGGAGTAATAAGACGTGTAAAATAATTGGATTTTGAAAGCTGATGAAGAGAGGTCATGTGGGAGATTAAGACACAGATGGACAGATGATAATGAAATGGAACATAGTTGTGGTAATTACTTTTTCAGTTATTTATTGTCATTTGTCAACTGCACGTGTTATCTTCTTCCTCAGCGCTACAGCCCGGGGTGGGCTTTGCCTCCCTCACAATGAGCCCCCATTCTTCCCTACTCCACAGTTTCTCCCACCACCTTCCAACCCGCAAGGTCCTCAGGTACTCCTCCAAGTCCTTCATCTATCTCTTCCTCTGCCTTCCTAACATTCCATGTGGCCAAGGTCAATGTCGCAGTTCGTTTCCGAGTCCGTGAACATTTGCCAGGTTCATCACCGAATAATCTATACACCTGAGACTCTTTTGAGGGTTTCATAACAATAATTGTTTTCCGGTCGGGGTTGTTAACCCCACGCACAACCCCCAACCTGGAGGACCAGGGTATCACTCTTAGTCTGGTGCATCACCTTAGACCTGTCCAGCATAACCCTAAGGGTCGTTTGAGCACACAAACCTTGTTACCCGGCAAAATGTATTTGCCTTTGAAAAGGTGGTGATACCTTCAGGAGGACACGTGTTGTCTGGCACTGAGTAAAATAATTGTGAATGATGACGTAGAAAGGATATAGAAGGCAGTGGTAATCATCTAATTCAAGGTACTGACATTAGCTTGGCGGGACAGAGGATAACAATTTATAAATTCAGAATTAAACTCAAATGTTTGGAAATGAAGAACTGATACGTTTGTTATTATTTGCTTGCTATTAATATAAGATGCATTTAATTTTCAGACTCCGGAACAGGGAGCAGAAACTATTCTTCATGCATGCTTGGCTTCTGCTCTCGAAGGTTGTGGCGGTTCTTACCTCAGCAACTGTAGTGAGACAACAGTCAGTCCAAAAGCAAGTTCACAGAAAGTTCAGGACAGACTGTGGAGTGTTATGCTGTCGTCTATAGAAGTAGAAAAATTTGCAGATTTGTTAGAGTAAATTCTGCAGTTGGTAATTTATTCTGCATATATTTTTTAACTTTAAAATAAGAGTGATAAACAATTTATATAAAAGTAAATATATTTTTATGTATTTCTATATGTTGAGGTTGATTGGTCCTCATATTACCTAAGGAACTTATTGAAGTCTGAACAGCTGAACAGTTAATGTTCATTTGGCTATAGATTTATTGTCATATGAGTGTGGGGGATTATAACCTAGATTGGCAATTCTTGATGGAGAGCAGGCTAGAGACTTTTACCAATATTGATTCTGGTTAAGTCTACAGGTTGTGTGTTTTGCTAAGCTTTATCTGCTGATTTTTGGTGCGTAGTAAGAAGGGATTAAATGTGTAGACATTACATTTTACTTAAGCTGCTACGTCTGAGCGGCAAAGATATAACAGCACTCATATCATAAGAATGGCCTGTAAAAGAAAAATACAGTGAAAGTTTATCTAAATTTTATAATATTATGGACAGATCATCCAAATCATCCATAGTGTTTGCTCAGTATGTTCAGAAATATGTTTACTTATTAAGATCTGAAACACATTTGAACAATTTTTATATTTATACATCTCTTTTGCTTGGTTCGAGGGTCTTGAGTGAAATGCTGATTTAAGCCCCTTATTTCCGAGCACCAGAGATATTTAATGAATAATGCAATATTTAGATGTGCTCTTTTGTTAAAGGTATGTTTTAATGGATCACTGTGAACTAAAATTATTTTTTTTAAATTGTTTATATGGATCTCCCTTACCAGAGTGCTTCTAAATATATCATGTAGTAAAGGTCTCGACTTATTTTGAGAGATTATTGTGTGTGTAAACACAAATCACTAAAATTTACATTGCACCAAATACTCAGTATTATAATCACTAAACACTGTTTAACAGTCTTATTACTGCTCAAAGTAGAGGAAGATCACAAATGTCAGAATCATGCTTGAAACTCAATTTAAAACTATATGGCAGCACGATTTAAATCAAAAGGAATGTTTTTTCATTGCTAAGGGAGTTAAATTGAATAATGGAGCAAATGGATAATATGCTGTGATTTGAACTGAAGTCTAATTTCACAGTATGTAGTAATATGATGATGACAACTATAGTTTAATCCTGCAACAATGAGTTTTTAGATTTTTTTTATTTACAGTATTTACATGGCTGAAATAACATAAGTATTAACTGAATATTTGTTATTGTTTTAAAAATTATATTATTTTATTAAAATAAAATGTTTTTATTTGCCTTTCCCGTACCATTTGCACCATCCCTATGTTCATAGAACACCAATGATTGGTAGCATTAATGATAATCCATTAAGTGTTGTTATTCATTCAGAGAAAGTTTACTGTAGAAATTTGTTCTTCCTAGATATAATTATTAAGCTTCTCCCTATTCTAAATATGATAATTAATTAAGAATCCCAGGGCACATGCATAATTGCATATACAGTAGATTCCAGTTAATTGGGGTAGCCAGTGATGGTACACCATGAAATGCAGACAACACAATATCTATATTAAAATATAATCAGTTTTATTCTACACTACATGTTTTTGACTCAATAGATAACTTCAGGTAGAATAAAACTGATGATTTAATACAGGTACTGTGTTGTCTATGTTTGACGGTATACTATCATTGTATCATAATACCACAGCAGGATGTTGTCTTATTAGTGATTCATTGAGGCCTGTCACGCACATGGGGTGATCAAAGACTGCTGGAACACGAGATGTTGAGGGAAACTTATTACATTTGTATTGTTTTACAACATTTAATAATTTTAAAGGTGTTAAGAGGCTTGAAGACTCAATCTTTTGCGCAATGCTGAATATAACAAAACACAACAAGGAGAAAGCATGTAGGAAACCAGACAAGACTGTATCCACTTCTGTTTAACAAATTCAATTTCTTATTAGGCAGTTATCACATACAATGAAAACAACATTAAGGTATGAAGCTACTCTTCAAAAGCACCCATAACTTTTGATTATGAACACAGAAAGTTACTGAATATATACAGCATATGTATCATCGAGATAAATTGTAAAAGGAATGTGCACAAAAATTACATTTTAGATGCATTTGTGAACAATTATTATATAGTAGTACAGACCTTGATGTATTACAAGTACATTACTTAAATTTTGATATCTTGAAACAAATTAATAAAACATTAATAACTACTGACTGTCTGTACTCATTTTGACATCTTGAAATAAAACAGTAAAATATTAACACTTTTACAAGTGAAAGAATTTATGACAGATACTATTTTCACATTAGTGTTACATTGTTTTGTTGTCAATATGTGGAAACAAAGTTTTCATTTCATAATGACCTTACAATGTACCTACATACATACTGTGTGTATATATGGAAAACCTTCGGTAAATTCCAGTCAAAAATAATGATAAAGGATCAGACTAACATTAATCATATCAATTGAGTGGTAACTGTTGAGCTGGGGTAGCTCAGTCAGTATAGTGACTGGCTACAAATTGGATGACCGGGGTTCGATTCTTGACGGGCAGAGGACTTTTCCTCTGGCCTCTGTGTCCAGACCGGCTCTGGGGCCCACACAGTCTGCTATCCAGTGGGTACAGGGGGCCTTTTCCCACAGATAAAGTGTGGCTGGGGTGTGATGCTGACCACTCACACTCCCATTTAGGAGTAGGAGTTATACCAAGTCTCCCCACAAGTGCCTACATGGCATATAGAGGGACAACTTTGGTTTACTTTACTTTACTTTACCCTGTGGTAACTAAATGTACTATCTGCTTCACTGTTCAATACCTCTACACTTTGGTCACTGACTGTATTTATGGATTTTGTATGATTCCCATAATAAACAACCATTTCCCTAACATTAACCAGTTGATCTCTGATATGGAAATGTGTTGTTTTCTTTGAGGTAAGAACTGGATATTTACATGATATTTAGATGAGTTTCAAGTTAAAGTAGCCAGTGATGGTACACCATGAAATGCAGACAACACAATATCTATATTAAAATATAATCAGTTTTATTCTACACTACATGTTTTTGACTCAATAGATAACTTCAGGTAGAATAAAACTGATGATTTAATACAGGTACTGTGTTGTCTATGTTTGACGGTATACTATCATTGTATCATAATACCACAGCAGGATGTTGTCTTATTAGTGATTCATTGAGGCCTGTCACGCACATGGGGTGATCAAAGACTGCTGGAACACGAGATGTTGAGGGAAACTTATTACATTTGTATTGTTTTACAACATTTAATAATTTTAAAGGTGTTAAGAGGCTTGAAGACTCAATCTTTTGCGCAATGCTGAATATAACAAAACACAACAAGGAGAAAGCATGTAGGAAACCAGACAAGACTGTATCCACTTCTGTTTAACAAATTCAATTTCTTATTAGGCAGTTATCACATACAATGAAAACAACATTAAGGTATGAAGCTACTCTTCAAAAGCACCCATAACTTTTGATTATGAACACAGAAAGTTACTGAATATATACAGCATATGTATCATCGAGATAAATTGTAAAAGGAATGTGCACAAAAATTACATTTTAGATGCATTTGTGAACAATTATTATATAGTAGTACAGACCTTGATGTATTACAAGTACATTACTTAAATTTTGATATCTTGAAACAAATTAATAAAACATTAATAACTACTGACTGTCTGTACTCATTTTGACATCTTGAAATAAAACAGTAAAATATTAACACTTTTACAAGTGAAAGAATTTATGACAGATACTATTTTCACATTAGTGTTACATTGTTTTGTTGTCAATATGTGGAAACAAAGTTTTCATTTCATAATGACCTTACAATGTACCTACATACATACTGTGTGTATATATGGAAAACCTTCGGTAAATTCCAGTCAAAAATAATGATAAAGGATCAGACTAACATTAATCATATCAATTGAGTGGTAACTGTTGAGCTGGGGTAGCTCAGTCAGTATAGTGACTGGCTACAAATTGGATGACCGGGGTTCGATTCTTGACGGGCAGAGGACTTTTCCTCTGGCCTCTGTGTCCAGACCGGCTCTGGGGCCCACACAGTCTGCTATCCAGTGGGTACAGGGGTCCTTTTCCCACAGATAAAGTGTGGCTGGGGTGTGATGCTGACCACTCACACTCCCATTTAGGAGTAGGAGTTATACCAAGTCTCCCCACAAGTGCCTACATGGCATATAGAGGGACAACTTTGGTTTACTTTACTTTACTTTACCCTGTGGTAACTAAATGTACTATCTGCTTCACTGTTCAATACCTCTACACTTTGGTCACTGACTGTATTTATGGATTTTGTATGATTCCCATAATAAACAACCATTTCCCTAACATTAACCAGTTGATCTCTGATATGGAAATGTGTTGTTTTCTTTGAGGTAAGAACTGGATATTTACATGATATTTAGATGAGTTTCAAGTTAAAAATGTACGAGTAATAGAACTCCATGTTCATACAAATATTAAAACCTTAGTCCAATCTACCACCTGTGTGTAACAAATGTAATCAATACTATGGAGCATAAGTTATACAGCTTCATAAGGGGCTCTCAATATTATTCTGAGATCTCAGTAGAAGTTACTATTTCTTTAAAGGAACTGCTAAAAACTGGCAATCCAGCATCCCACATGTGTATTTACTTTGGAATGTAAACACAACTGATTTGGAGGAACATTTATTTATACTACCATGTAATAATATAGTTCTGAAAACTGGCTCAGTTAAACTTTTACACACAATGGTTTGTTAAATCTATTCATTTGACTAATCACAAAGAATAACCTAGCCTATGTTGGATTGAAAAAGATTTACTTCCCCAATGATATATAGTTAATGTTTCAAACAGTCATGTAGATGTAATGCATTATTACATTATTCAAAATTCAGTTTGTTTAGCAAATCCAAATGTTACAATTAAGAAACAAAATAAAGTTACAAATATTATACATATATTTTGAAGAAGGAACAGTAACTTAAAAATAGGGTAAAGTGAGACAAAATCATGCCAGCTATGATAAAATTTTCAGTATGACATGATGAAAATAAAACTATGCACTCTGGGTATATTATCTAAACGCATCCACAAATCAGATACACTCTTGGCGTTAACACAAGGACATCAAGATGTAATGTTCAGTGTATGTCAGGGAAGCCTGTTCATATTCTGAACATAGTTACAAAAAACTGCTAAGAAATTAAAATAAATATAGAATAAAATACAGCAGGGCATTGAAAATGTTAAAAATGTCAGAAAAAATATATAATGAATATGAATCCCACTGGATTATTGTATCTTATTGGTTCAACATATGATCACCTTGTTTTCTGCATGAGAATTCCTATGTAGATCAAAGTCTAAAATACTGAATATGCCATCCTAAACTACAAATATTTATAACAGCCACAAAATAAAACATTTTACCTACAGTAAGATTAAGTACTGACACATTTTGCATGACCTACATTCTTGTAATTGTGCCATAAGGTAATAAAGGATTGCTTTCATATGAGATCACATACAGTAACATTAAACACAACAAAATAAATTTATATTCTAGCTTATAGCAATAAATTTTATAAAACTGTAGCATCTTTATGTTTGTTGAACAATCTAATAACATGCCAAATTGTGTTTCAAAAATCTATATATACAATCCAGTTAAACATCAACACTTTTGTTCAAAAAAAAGTTACAATACTGCCACTATCACAGAAATAAAATATATAAGTCTAGCTGCAGTAATAAAAATACTACAGTATATAATATGTAAAAAGAGTTATAAACAATACTGGAATGTATTTCCTCAAAGAAGTATGGTGTTAATAACTCGATATATTATTCAGTGCAGTCATATCTAATATTTTACATCCTGTGCAGCAGGGCTAAATTCTTGCTGACACATTAAGAGAGCCAAGGATAGAAGCAATAAACCTGTTTACAATATTTCTTCAAAATGACAAACAAAATGCTTCATATGAATACAAGAATCAGACATTTTATATCCACATAAATCATATTCAGTGTTGTAATCTCACTGTGGAAGAATTTGTTTCTATTTACCAAATCCTGATATTTCACCTTTTTTGAGACATGCTCCTATCACTGCTGTCTTTTCAAACGAACCACGTTCGTATTGAAATTCTTGTATAAGAACCATAATATTATTCATTTTGGACATAGCTGCTTTATCAGATTTAACAATATTTACAGTCTCTGGCTTTGTGACAATAGGAAAAAATAGTTTTCTGACATTATATCACTCATAATATCAATTCATTAGTTATAAATCAACAGTTAATACAATAACACAGCTGCAAAGAATGTTAAAGCCCAAGCCTTATAGCTGATGTCCAGTGTGCAAGTGGAAACTACAAATTTAGATTCCTGTAATTACAAGATAAACAGTTTTAATAACTTATATATAAATATTTGTATATGTAAATATTGTAATCATCACCTTCATTCTTGTGTTGAATGCATCAGGAATAAATGCATTCTCCAACAAAATCATAATTTGCAGCATACTCAAATTTGAACATTACTTCAACAGACATTTGAAACTCACACAGTAAGTTTTGCATGACTGGAAGTTTGTAGTTACAGATTTCTATTTAACCTGTATTTTTCAGGAATAAAAGATTATATCCAGGATTAAAGGTTTGGCAGTGTGGTAGCGCAACACGCGGCCAGCTGGACTGCACATTAAGCTGTGATGCATGGTTGATAAAAGTTAACTAAATAGTGTAATCCACATGGGTCTGGCATGCTTTGTAAAGTTCATCAAACTGGGTTCTTGACATTATATAAGATCAGCTTGTTTGCTTAATTAATATGACAATATCTTATATAACTGCAGGAATCAATATTTGTATGCATCTTATGTGCACACCCATATTTCCTTTTTATAAGGAAGAGTTAAAATTGTTTCCTACATTTGGTAAATATCTGTAACATGATATTTACATATGAACTCAGCACATGGCATTGACAGTTTTCATGCTATTGCATGCTCTAGCATGACAAGTGAGGCTGAGAAAGGTGTAAAAATATAAAATATTTCCTTAAAAAGGTATTTCTTGTATTTTATTAAATTATATTAAAAAGAGGAATGCTTTCAAGATTAATATTCCATAAGCATTTACCGTAACATTAATCTTGTTCAGAGACTTCTATATTCACCTGGCAACTTCATTATTACATTTCTTGGAACTTATATTATTTATTATGTTAATATCAGTCAATATATAGCAGTTAGGACATTCTACTACAACAACCACCATCTCCTATGACTGTGGTCCGGCCATTTATCGTTGGAGAGTTGCTGTCATACCTTGGCAGCTCTTTGCTTCTTGCTTGCTGTTAAGAATAAAATGTATAATACAGTACTAGGGTATACACAAATACTTCAGATCTGCCTTTGTTTTCTCATTAATCAACCAGTTTTTTTTAGTGTTGTCATATGGGTCAGATTTGGACATACTGGGGGTTCATAAGCAATGTGAAGCTTCAGTAACTCCACAGAAGATATTACGTTAATGGGAATATGTTACAAAAAGAAAATAAATGGTTCAAAACTTGAATACAAAACACTGACATAAAAAAATGTTGGAAGATGGACATGTGGTATAACAATTCTGGTGAGTTTGTCAGAATCTGACTTTTGATATTTTCAATTGTAACCATGGCATTTTGTAGGTGGTTCGGGATTCATTACATAACTGAGGTAACTACGTTAGCATGGGGTTTTTCCTTTCAGTAATTTCTGTGTGCAGGATGCATGCAGGTCTTCACATGAAGTGTTCATTATTGTTGTCCAGTTTTAACCAAAACTGCAATGTGTAGACAAATTTCACTAAACTCCTTCCATTATTCCCAATGGCATGTGACGATAAACATCAGCAAAACCCAGAACTCAATGTGGATTTTGAATCATTATTGAGGTTGGTATTTTTCACATAACCAAAGTTTCATCTTTGACAGAAGTCGAAGATGAAACTTATTACAAACTATAAAGATATAAAGTACATTGGTAAGAGCTTTATGCTACAGACATTAAATGTACAAGAAATATTTACCTCCATTAATTCTGCAGCTATCTCCATGAACAATCTTTCAACATTTTCTGCTTCTTTTGCAGATGTTTCTAAATAATACATACTATGCCTCTGGGCAAAATCCTCTCCGACATGAGCCGGAATTTCACGATCTTCTCGGTCAATCTTGTTACCTATTATGTGAGACAAGAGAAACAGCAATATTATAAAAAAATTTTTAATCACTACCATTATCATTTGAATAATAGGAATATTAGAAATTGTTTCCCATCAGTACAGTTATCATTAAAATAAATATCAGAAAAGGTTTTCCTTCACTAATGTAACACTTCATGCTATTTTCATTTCATATAACATATGAATATCTTCCTTCACTTCACATTTGCTCATATTTACTCAGACTAGCATTTTTACCTTCTAAAGCAGTTGACAAATTATTAATTTTATTAGCTGGGAATGGCAAAAGTGAAAACAGAAATTAATAAAGTGTCAAATTCCATCTACCAAACACTACATAAATATGGTGGACTGCAATACACAAATACAATGAGTCACCAGAAACAGTAAGTCTATACGGAAGGGTCATTCGGAAAAGAAGCGTAACGAAGATGAGTAAGATCAATATCAACAATGTCTAAATATGGGCCGACAACAATGGTTATGTTACCTAAGAAACTAATTGTTACATCATCTGTTTGCTTGGCATTGATGTGTTACATTACTGCTGTCAACAATCCGCTTTCTTTATTGTGGAAAGAGCTGAGCTGTGAATCGCTTGTATAAGAAGTGTGTCGTAGACAAGATAACTTTGTGCTGGTGAAAACGTTTTAGAATATCACAAGTACTTATCTTATATAAGAATTATTACATTACATTACAATACATTACATTCAGCTACCACAGAGCCATCTTAAGCGTAACTAATTCAAGTTAAATAAGCAATGTCTTAATCAAACTATTTACTCAGTTGTAAAGCATGTATATCCTTTATACAGAGATGTATTTACGTCAGATTCTCAAGAACTGTAGTTCCACTGTCAATTTTTTATTTTCTCAGAATCTGATGACAAATATAGGACATTACTAACCTACTAAAACCCTGAGTACTTTGCTGCTAGCATACTCTTCAATTTCCCGCAACCAGTCAGGGAGGCAATCAAATGTAGGTTGGCAGCTTATATCATATACCAAAATAAGAGCATGAGCCGAGCGGTAATAGCTTTGTGTGATGGATCGGAATCTCTCCTGCCCTGCAGTATCCCAGATTTGTAACTGTTTAGAGAAATAATTAAATTAAGAACTACATGCATATTATGTAGTAACGTGAATAAATTATTTATCAATTTATTAATTATATTAAGAATATATGCAATTCAGCACTTTCCCGTGTGTTCCTCACATATATAAATATTTGTCTTTCATATTAAAAAATAATTCTCATGTATATTACTTACAAAATAAACACTTTGTGTGATAATTCATCAGACAGTCGTTAATGAATACAGTTTACGGTACCTTGATTTTTTCGTTATCAATCTCCACAGTCTTGATCATAAAATCTACCCCAATTGTAGCACCTTGTCCAGGAGGAAAAAGGCCCTATAATAATCGAAATATAAGTATAAGAAACAATTTTTTATTCTGTTAATAACTGAAACATGTTAATAAGTTAGTCAACACATTTTACCTGTGTGAACCTTCTAACCAAACATGTTTTCCCAACACCTGCATTTCCAACAAGGACAACCTTAAATAGAAACTTATAATCTTCCATTGATGTTTTATTGAGCCACCTAAAATATTAAAAAAAGGGAGCTTGTTAAACATTTGTAAATAATGATAACATCATCTTTCAAAAGTGAAAGGTTGTACGTCAATCAGTGCATTAAGCATTTCACCTTAATAGCTCAACCCTGCCCATCTGTCCTATCATAATAATTACACGCAAATTACATGCAAAAACATACAAGTACCTTATAAGATGGCAAATAATTATATAATAAGTTAAATATTTGCTGTATACGGTTTCAATTTATTATTTTTGCAGATTGTGTCAAAAAGCAGACAGCTTTCTTCCATACTGACATCTATCGGATGATATAGAAACTACAATTTTACGAATAGTGATCGTTGAAGAAATGTAACAAGTGACGTGATTGGATGAAGAATCGTTCCATATCCTGTTGTTGTCGCTGTAGACCAATTATGAACTATGTTACAACGTTGATACGTAAAGCGTAGGTAGCCATTTTGAGGATTTCGCAGACGTTGGAAGTTCTATCCGTGATGGTGTAATATTTGTGAGAAAGAAAAGTTATTTCAGCAACATTTTGACTGTTATTAGGATCATGTTGTAATAGATTTAATATTTGATGGAAAAGGTAAGTTTTTTGCTATATGGACACACTTTTAATGATGAATTATGTATTAGAAATGTTACAATTTTTCCAAGCTGTTGTGAGTGCCGTTAGATCTTGTGAACCAAATAGTGAACTGTTGTTGTTTAATTGTTTTACAGTTGAGTGTGGTGTGAATGGTTACTGAAACCTTCGAGAATATGACATCTACGGCAAAAATGTCCAAGGAGGCGAAAGAGGTAGCCGAAGAATATGCGTCCTCCTTATCGGATCTCACCGTGAACAGCAAACCACTAATCAACATGCTTACGATGCTCGCTGATGATAATATAATGCATGCACCAATAATCGTCCAGGCAGTGGAAAAACATCTTCAAAAGGTCATTTTTAAGATTTTGTTTGATTTTGTCATATCTTGAGGCTTGGAAACCTCAAAATGTAAATTATGATTCGTGTGGTAAAATAATCTTACACCATGGAGAACCTAATTTAAGCTTTCGAGTAATCTGTATGTTAGGAGTTTATTATTGCTGTAGCCCATTGATTAGTTAGTGGAGCTTGAACACAGGGAATATGTGAAATTAAGTGGAACCCCAAAATTATGTGTTTCTTAGTTTTGTGTGTATTACACCTGCCTCAGCTTGAACACGGGTTCATGAGAATGTATAAAAGAAAGCCAAAATTCAGGTTCTTCATAATTTGGTATTTTACAATGTACATTCCTCTATTTAATAATGGAAATGGAAGCAAGTGTTCAGGAATTCTGGTTGTTATACTTCCAAAGTATGGCCACAGGTCCACATTCAACACTTTTAAGATTGACCCAAATTTCAAAGTAGTGGTTGTTTTGTTGAATCAGATTATTTTATTCCAATTTGTGCCAACTTCTAAGCAGTGATGTACCCAAAGAATGTCAGTACAAAAATAGTATTTTATAGCAATACTTTCTGTCTCACTTGTCATCATTACCACTTAGGATGCAGCATGTAATATTGATCATCAGTATGTTTTATGGAATGTTCCACCACTGAATATGGTTGATAATAAAGAAGAGTATTTGACAAAAAATGAGGCACTTACATAGTAGAGAGAGATATTGAAATGAATAATGGTTATGATCTGCAAGAAGGATAATACAAAGCAAGTGTCCTGTTAGTACAGATAAGTGGACTGTAAGTGGAGTGGTACAGCTTTCTTGAGGAATGAATGTTATATGAGAATGGGAATGTGTTTATGAGTGAGAACATGAATTAAACACATTTATACATTGGGATATTATTCCAGTACAACTGAAGACCTTAAAAAGTAACGGTTTATTTAATATAAGCTGTTGTCTTTTATTTAGTAGACTGTATGAAACACATGCTTGCTTATAATTTGATATAAGCAATAAGGTCTTTCTGGAATAAATTTTTATATCATATTTTGAGTAATGAATCTTAGTGTCTGTTGGGAGGGGGGAGCTTATTATTTTGCTGTTAAATAGAGTTGTATAGTCCAACATAAAATAGTAAACAGTCCTTATTTCATGTTGAAGTACTTGTTTATATATTTGGAAATAGAATTTTGCGGTAAATGGTTTGATTAAATAGATTTTATATTCTTAACTATTTCTTATCATTAACCTTGAGGAAACAACATTTGTCCCTGGAATACTGAACAGTTTCAAGTCCTTAGTTCATTTTATCTTTCTTGTTTGAGACAGTATAATTTAATTTTGATTCATGTTTCTAGATGGAGTTAAGAGTGCATAGTATTACCAATATCTGGGTACATGATTCAGTGGAAAGTTTGAATGTCTCTTTAGCATTATAGCTTGTTTGGATGGACATTATTTATACTACCGTTGAAAATTTGATGTAAATGATGAATCATGTAAACAGATATTTCAGGTAGTACTGTTTCAAGATGTTTTGTTTGAAGATTTGTTCCATCTTCTTCAACTGTTTGGGATATAAATTGGTACAGACAGTTACTGAAAAATGTAAAATTTGTTCATTATCCTTGACTTTATCTCATATCTCTTGTGCATTACTTCCTTCCACTAAAAAGTAGTAAGAGATAGGGAGGTCATATACAAGAAGTAACCAATTATCTTATCTTTATGCTAAGCATTGAGAGGATTGTTATAGCAGTGTTGTTCATAAGTAAGAACATTTTATGTTATGTTAGGCAAGGTTTTGTTTTGCTGTTCAAAAGATTTCTTACTGTCTTTATTCTAGTTAAATGTATGATATCTTAAACTAGCATAGCCAAAGCTAGTTTAACGTGATGTAGAATGTCTTTAGTGCACAACACCATCATTACAGTCCTTTGAACACAATGTTAGGGCCACCATATCTTGAAGCATAGGAGAAGTTGTTCTTCGAGGATATGGACAGGTTATTTTTTATAATACCTTTGAGAAACTGTCTCTTCCACCTCATATATCTGGTATGACAAAACATTCAGTACAATGGAGAAACATTTTGTGATGAAAAAGTAAACTATAATCATCAGTGTTTAAAAATAATTGTGTGTTTTTAGTAGTGGGTAGATAATGCACAAGAATCCTAATATTTCTGAATCCTGACATTGCTTCCTATTCCATTTTCATTATGGCTGTATTCTTATGACAAAGGAGGAGACCGTTTACATATAGTTTTAGAAGTTACGCAGGTTCCCTTTCCTTCCTTATCCAGGTGTCACTAGTACCAAATAAAGGTAGCCGTGGAAAAGTTAGGTCCTGTTTTCCATAGACAGGTTTGGTTTTATTGAGTATGATAGTGTAATCACATTGATGGAGAGTTTATCAAGACTGGAAGGAAAGTGGAGCCTCGACACACGACAACCCCCCCCAAGTATGTTTGTACTGTTCGTGTAGGTGCGGGCGGAGATGAAGCTGCCTGTGTTGTACCTCATCGATTCTATCGTGAAGAATGTTGGGGATACATACACATCACTCTTCACTCAGAACATCGTTTCAACATTCTGCAGTGTTTTTGAGAAGGTATTACTCTTTTTCATTTTTTGGGGGTTGTAGTTTGGGGTTTGTTTGTTCCCAGTTTTGAAGATTCTTCCATTTTCCAAAGGGGATTGATATGTAAAGACAGTGATTGTACTGAGAGTGCTACTAATGATTTATATATTCGGATTTACTTAGATTACTGTAACTCGTGTAGTCTTTTGTGGTGTGTGTTTGACGTATTTCATATGGGAAGTCATGCAAATTATAGAACACTTCATTGATTTATGAACTGTTAATCAAAGTTTATCTAATATGAGATAACAGAACTGCACAGCTTTTGTCTCTATCTTAACCTTACTTCCAATAATGGGTCGCATAGTAATATAGTTTGTATTGTGACAAGGAAACTGACTATGGTAAATATGTTTGTGTGTTGTAATTGGTTTCATTATTTATGGTCTTTGCATATACCAGTGTTCAGAACACAAGGGGTCATGACTTGGTATTACTTCCTCTCTATGTGAACAGATTTAGATTGAATTTGTTTTGGCAAACTCAAAAGCCTGTATTCATTCTACACTGTTTTTGCCTGCCAGAGTTCTCATCTGTCAGTGGCCTAAATGAACTATAAATGGTGAGATTTTACCTTCTAATGTTGATGAGTGTGAAGATGGCTGCATAGTGGGGGTGTTGCATCATTTAATCAGTAGAAATTGACAGACATTTCAGAGTTGTTTACTCTGTCTTAAAACATGTCAGTTTCTGCCAGACTACACGATGTAACATCTCAGAATAGTCACCTTCAAGTTCATAAATATCAAATAAAATTTACACAGATGGAAGTATTATAACTTAATACATCATTGAATGTCGTTTCTTGAGTGCGATGAGGCTAAATATTGAAAGGACTGCTCTTTTATTGCATATTATGTGTTGCTAAGTGGTGAGGATATTAAGTTATGAAATATGATTGAATACATATTAGCATAGGAACTGTAACATCTTTAATGTTTATTGGCTGTGCACTGTCTACATCTGATCCAGCTCAGTGTGTATTACAATAACATACTGCTAAACCATTAAAGCCTGTGGATGAAATTTGGCTATCAGTTCCATAGTACAGGGATTTAAATCATCTTTTCACATGATAAAGGTTAACTGATAAGAACCATGGCAATTATCATAACTATCTACAATACATTAATAAAAGTATACTGAACATTTTTGGCATTGAAATACAACTCAAAGATTTTAAAATATGTAAATGGTATCTTTGAGATGAGACTGAATGTTTTGATCGTGTATACGCGATAACTTTTGTCATTGCAGGTTTTGGTAATTTTGCATAGTATGGTGTTCAATAGTTTCGTGATGTGTTTTCATTGACCCGGTGCTTTGACGAGTATTGCAGCACGAGATTAATGTTGAGTAGATACTTAAGAATGAGTTAGGCACTATTTCAGATTGGGCATTGTTCCACATTAGTTTTGTAGATTATCTTATGTCAGAAGTTGTACTTGGTAGTGACCCACAGAGTTTAAAGATCTTTGTGAAAGTTGTGTGAGTCCTATTCACAGGTGGGTGGCTGGTTGATTCAGGCATCAACTGCCTGTCCCTCAGAAGAGCGAAACATTGTTCTCCACTGACACATCAACATTCTTTTACGATTGTAAATTTGTATAGATTGCTCAATTAAATTTCAGGCACAAGAAGACGCTGCATGGTCTGATCGTGTAATACTATCATAACATATGTTTTAATCCAAAGCTTTAGTTATTTAAATTTACTTAATTAAATTACGAATGTGTTGTAGGTTCTCTTATTTCCTGTTTCTTAAGTCTAAGTATTTAACTCAGCTAAGCTAATTTTAATGGTGTGGCTGTGTTATTTGTTTTATAAATTTAGCTAAAAAAGATTAATGTCTTTTGGGATGTAGCGTATAGTTTAGTAAATACTGACATTTCTGAGGAGTTTACAGTCAATAAACCAACTTAAATTTCACCATGAATTAAAGGTGCATATCAATCTCAGTTCTATTATGAAAAGAATCTTCAGATTTTGGGAATGTTAAAGGTTTGATTAGTCTTATAATTAAGTAGAAAAAGGCTTGGATAACTAAGTAGTCTTAAGATTTGTGGATAGTATTTGATATCCATTGCAAAATATTACAAATATGTGGTTTTGTTGTTTACTGCGGAATAGAATGAAATCTCCGTTGATTCATAATATTAATGACATGTTGATTAATTGTTTGCTATGTTGTTTGGCTGTAGTGCCAAGTGAAAGATAAGTGATCTAATCTATAAAGTGTCTGACACAGAATGTGTACTATGTGGTGTGTATAATTTAAAGGTCTGTTACACATGTAAGGATTAATTCTGTGCATTAAAACCATGAAGATGATTTATTTGAACATGAACCCAGAAATGGCTCCTTTCCAAGTTGGTCTCTTTAAATTTTCAAAATTTTGAACTTGGTGTTGACGTCATGCTTTGTTACTTCCTCTTCTTGTATGGAGCACCATTGGGCAGTGGATTCGGGAGGAGAAGAAGAAGAAGAAGGTGCATGGTGCTATTATGACACACATAAGCTTTTGGTGATATACTTCAGTGTTACCAGCACTACCAGTTCATGTTGTTAGTGGTTTGCAACATTCAAGTTCTATTCTGTGTCTAAATTTAATTTATTTCTGTAATGCTATCCAATGGCAATATTATAGAGGCCAGTGATGAACACTGTTTGAACAGCGTAGTTATGCCAATGTTGAAAATCATAACAGTTTGTGGCAAGTGTTTCATGAAAATTATATTTATTCATTACAAGGAATGATGAATATGCAATTCTATTATGACATGCAGATCAACATTAAGCATACCAGGTGTATCTAGAAGCAATGTTTTGTGTAATGGCCTCTTTCAAATAGGAATTTTGAGAACTTATGGTGAAATTTCCACTCCAAGCAGAGGGAAAGGACAAAAGTGTGATTCTGCATTGGAAGTTTGAGAGAGGAGAAAAAGGATGTAATTCAGAAAGGCCTTTTTGAGCCCAAATTCATATGATTTTTTTTTTGGCACTTACATTTGTCAGATTTTTACATTACACACATTTAAATATACTACCCAGCATTTCTTACAACTAATTCAAAGGAAGAAATCAGTAATATAAGTACATGGGCCTATTTTGAAGAAAAGATCATTACCTGATATCAAATAAATACTTGGCTTATGTCAGTAAAAAGCACTTAGCATTGTCAATATTCAGTAGTTACTGCAGATAAGCAGCTGTTTAACTTAAAGAGCATGAAATCAAGAACTAAGATGCATCTTTCTCATGAATACTGAGGTGGATGCATTGTAAATCACAGCAACAAAAACAACCTGACATTAGATTTTTCAAGCAAAAAAGTGTTGTTAAATATCACACTGATACGTAAAGCTGTTCAAAGTAGCAGGCTTCATTTAGTAACATTTAAAATAAACTACTATTGCATTTGAATAAATCGTCCTCATGTATAATCTTGTGGCCTTCGAGTTGATAAGATAGGGCAGCTTTGACCCCAAGTCTGAAAAGGATGAGAAACGTGTTTTACATGAAGACGCATGAATTTCTTTATTTGTCTCAAGTGTAATTTGCTAAATACTCAATGGAGTGAAAAGTGTTTTGAACGGAAGTTGTCAAGAAAAAAGAAAAACTAATTTTGTGCACAGTACACTTTTTCCATATAGTGTTTGAGATAATTAAAAGGGATTTTAGTGCTATCATCATGTAACTTGAGAACCCTTGATGATTAACTCTAAATGCTTTCCGTAGATGACACTGGGAATTATATGAATATAATAGAATCACATAGAAATGGTGGCATGCAGTTGAATGCTGAGTTGGTTGAAATTTGTTGCAAGCAGACAGCATGTATTTTAGTTAATAATGGGCATTTATGTTGAATGAAGAAGACTATAAATAAACATATCTAGCTGCATGAAGCATGAGTGCTGACTTTTTAAAATTATGGGCGTTGCACAGGTTTGTGTCACAAATTCATCCAGCAGACAATCTCAGAGGACTAGAAACATAGCTTACAACAGAGTCAGCACCTTAAACATAAGTAGGACTGGAATTGGATTGCAGTGTGTTCACTCGCCCGTGCCATTCTTGAATTTCAAGAATCTTCTTAGTCAAAACATAACTCAACCAGCTCCGCTACCTGTCAAAAATGTGTAAGCTGTGTCATGGAAAACTGTAAACATTTAATAACAAGTTTTTATAGGACCAAATAAATACCCACTTACATTTATTAAAAGAATAATTATGGAGAAATGATTTAAAAGTTAAATTGAAGATAAGGGAAGCTTAGTGGATGCCCATGCCCTACGGCACCCACGGTAATAATTTTCTTGCATGTGAAGATGTTAATATCCATTTTATCGATTTGATGGGCGCCTGCAAAGGCATTGAGTTTTTCTCATTTCCCCACACGTCTTGAAGAACTCTGAGATTGCTTCTGGTGGATATGATTGCTAATTACCACAAACTCCATGTGATGTGATCTTGCATAATTTGTGTTGCTCATCTACACACCAACAGACAGTTATGGGGTTGTGGGTAGTTACATGGGTTTGCTAAATTTGTCATACCAGATGGTTATCCTTGCCTTTTTCTAAAATTTATATACTCAGTGTTTGTAATCAGACTTTTATTTGTTACTTGATTCAAGGAAATCTGTTTATCAGTTGTTCCCATCAAACAGGAAGGCAAATTTGCTAGCTCATTTGGTTGTCATTATTTTTATTTACAGAAATAACCTTTATGAAATTGCATGTTTTAAAGAAACAAAATTCCATTAGCAGGCACTGAATGGCACTAATGGTAGCTTGATGGAAATGTTTTCATTATCTGGTTGAGATGTGGGTTAGATGAGTGACAGCTTGAGGTAGTTGTTCAGAAATTATGGTCACCTTAAGAAAATACTTTAAATAGAAGCATCCAGCTTCATATTTTTAACTATGTATGCTTTCCTTTTTACTGTTATATGTAGTAGCAACTTT